GGCGAAGGTGTGTGTGTGTGTTTATGGCAAAATTGGTGTCGATTGATTTTGTGCGTTTTACTTACTCCAGAATCTAGATAATCAACACCTTCATCAGACATGAATCAACTCCGATTTGAACGGCTGAACAGTATACAAAGCCAGTTTGTCATGCAGTTTCACTAAAACTGTCCTTTTGTGAAGGTCCACGTTTGAAACTGCCGAGAGGGCAGAGATACCTACGTGATTCCCGCTGCTGCTTGTCAGTTCAGCACTTCAGCATGCAGAACGATTTGATTTCAATCCTGACACTGCTGATATGGCTGACCTCTGTAACGTAACGAATACTTGCATATCAAGGCCAGTGGTAGTTCTGTCGGAAGTAGGAGTAACGAAACGTGTATTCTAGCACATAGGCCAAATCATTCACTTGAAAAGCAGGGAGTATGGCCAAGGCGGAGCTCCATCGAGGGAAGATCTCGTTTAGCAGCACTAGCTAAGTCACGTAACAACCAAAATTGGAGGGACTGAGCGCTCAGAGAACTGAACAACAGCAAGAATTGATCGTCTGGAAAAACCAAAGAGGCAGCACATTTGTAAATCTGCAAAGCTTTCATTTGCAGTGCAGCCAACCACCGGTACTTACAGCTGGAGCCGACACCCGCATTGCCGTGGCCGACGTCCTTGTTCAAGGCGAGCTGCCTCAAGGTGATGCGAATTCGCTGTGAACAGGCTTCCAGACTTGCAAACTTGCAGACACCTGGCCGACTTCCACTCGGACCAAGACGCACGTGCGTCTAGATAGCTGCAGCTGCACAAGCGCCACTCGAACACGTCCCTCCCCATTTGCCCTTCCTCCATCCTCGGCCGGCACAGCATATCCTATCAAACACGACACCCCTCGGATAGTACCATAGACACCACTTTGACAACACTTGAACCCGCTCTGAAATCCTACAAAAGCAGCTGCCACCATTGTTACATTTTCCCCTCTCTCTCGTCTACAGCTGGATGCTGCCAACACTAGCTCTGATTTCGCCGGTGGCCACTGCTATTTGAGGTAGCAA